CTCGCCCGCGACAGGCGGCCTGCGCGACCCTGAACTTGCCCGTGGAACTGACCCTGATGTAGAAAGAAGCTGAGCGGATGCCGGCTCTCTGCAGGTGGCACACGGGACCTCGATGTGACCCGTGGGAACAGAACAAGAAACATGGTGCGACCCTGGGTCAGTATTTCTCCAGCCTTCCCAGGTGTCTTCTAAGTGCGGAGGACAGGGGCTGTGGGTGGCTATCCAGGGGGCACACTAGGGTTTGGAGGATGAGGTTTCTTTCCCCCTACCAGAGCCCCCACCCACACCCCAGCGAATACACCCCTAGGAGGGCCGGGGGAGCGCACCTACTGCCTGTCTGCCCTCCTCCCCAGAATTGCTCCCGCCTGCCTCTGACAGGAGACTGAGGGTCAGAGGGGTGAAGGGGCACCCAGGAGCCCACTGCTGCAGGAGGGAGGAGCCTAACTCACCCATGTCTCCTTACACTGAGGCCCTGAGCAGGTGCCTGGGTCTGCACAGGTGACCCCATCTGCCACTCCCCTTGGTACTGGGGCAGGGCATCAGGCCAGTAGGCGCTAAGGATAGCAGGCCACCCTGGGCCATCCATGAGAGGTACAAATGCTCACTAGGGTGAGCCCTCAAGATGGCCCTGTCGGGCCGAGTATGGGGGATACCAGCCCCCATACTCACACGCCGTGCTGTCCCTCCAGGAAGTGCAGTCAGGACCAGAAGATGCCTCTGTGCCAAGGGAGGGGGTCCCAGATCCCACAGGGGTGGTTCACCGCCCCCCACTCAGGAAAGCCTCAAGGGACAAAGGGCCTGCTCAAAAGGTCCCTCATGCAGCATGGAGAGGAGGGGGAGGAAGCCAGGGCGTGCAAGTCCTGGAGGCAGAGCACGCTGGGCTGGAGGGGGACCAGGAAAACCTGCAGTGTCCCCTGAGCCCACACCACAGCCCTGTGCAGCCTGCTCCCTCCACTCAGGGAGGGGCTGCCTCCAGGCCACCCAGCCCATTTCTGCAGCATGTCCCTCTGCCTTCACCCAACAGCGAACTCAAAAAAAAAAAGGGAATCTTTAGGTCAAAACCTGTGAGGTTGCGTCAGTGCTCTAAGCACCACACACCCCCAGCACCCAGTTCTGGCCTTCCATTCGGCAGACCCTGGCCTTTCTCTGCCCAGACTCCAGTGGAGCTTACCTTCCACCCCTCCTGACCCTCCTCAGGGCACTGGCCAGGCCCAGAGCCATCGGGTCAGGACACGTTTGTGCTCCCTCGGAGCCTCTAGAGGAGTGTGCGCCTTGGCCTTGCTTGGCTGTGGATACGCCCCTCCCATCTGCCTTCGACACCACATGGCCTCTCCTCTCCTAAAGACGCCAGTCATACTGGAAGGCCCACCCGAATGACCAACCTCATTTTAACTTGACCTTTCCAACTCGGGCCGCATTTGGAGGTGCTGGCGAAAGTGTCTCTATTGGCAGACCTCAACTTATTCCCTGAGTAATTTTTCAAACACAACGTGCCCCTTGAACTGGGCTCCAGGAATGAGCTGGCAGGAACAGACCCCCAAGTGAGCCATCAGATGCAGCTGGAATAGTGTGTTCGCTGTGGCCCAAGACAGGCCACTAGAAACTATGAATGTGACAGAGCAGACTGGAAAAAAGAACTGAACAGAAATTCAAACCCTCAAAACACAATAACCAGAATTCAGGATGGAGGGAAAAATTAAGAACAGACTGGACACCACTGAAAGGAGGCTCCGAAAACTGGAAGAGAGGGAAGTGGGAACTGTCAAAACAGATGCACAGAGACAAGCAGATGGAAACCACAGATGCAGAAGGGCCCTGAGGTTGCCTGGGGCTGGCGGGCAATGCAATCACATGGGCCCCTGGAAGTGGAGGGGGGAGGGGGTGTCCGAGGACGCCTGTGTGGGGACTGAAGACTGCTGAGCCTGTCGGGCTTCAGGCCTTCAGAGCAGCCAGACTGCTCTGGGTCACAAGGCGCACTAGCTCATTTCAGGCACAGTGAGTGGGAGCCGAGCCCGCTCCACTGCAGCTTTACGGGCTTGGCCTCTGGGGCCGGCCCCCTCATGAACTTGACAATAAGCAGCTAGCCACACAGACGCAAAGGGTGATGGGGACTGGACTGACTGCACATGAATTTGAGAGATGACAGCTCCGTAACAGTTTGTATTTGCATTTCTAAGTCACTGTTCCCAAGGGCCAGCTGCCACCCTGGCTCAATGGCAGTCCATACAAGGCATGGCATTTCCCAGGATGAAAAGGGCACCACTGGGCAGTCCCACAGTGGTGGGAGGGTGGGGCTGCAGGGGGTCTAGGCGTGATCTCACACATTCAGGGTGCAGGCAGAGGGTCAGGTCCTACAGGCGCAGCCGGAGCCAGCGGAAAGTGACAAGCCCTTAGGAGGAGCCGGGAGGTGGTGCTGAGGGGACTGGAGGTAGGAGGTCCAGGCCTGGACACATGGGCACAGGCCCAGGGGCTCTCTGGGGGCCGGCCCCATAGGACAGGATCAGGGATGTGCTCCTGAAAGGGAAGACCTGCTGGCCACGGCCTGATCTGGCCGTTACTCCTGCAGCTGCTTCGAGGGCAACATAGGCATCCCCAGCCCGCTAACAGCACACCCCAGGCAAGGAGGAAAAGCCAATTAAAGAACTTTGGGGGGCGGGGGGCTGGGCTAGGAGTGGCCTTGGGCCTGAGCTGGCTGGCAGCAGGAGGCAGCCCAGCAGTGAGTAGGGGTTCCATTGCCTTGGGAAGAGGGGAGCCTGGTGAGGGGGGCAGGGCTGAGGCTGTGCCTCCTGGGGTGGGGGTGGGGCGGCTCCAGCAGCTGGGGGCACGTTCTGGACACAGATGTCTCTTTGTCAGGGCCAAGCCCTGTGAGTGGAGCAGCCTCAGAGACAGAGTCCCCTTTGTCCACAGTGGCCTCCCCCTCACCCCCAGGGTACCACCCCCAGGAAAGGAGCAGAGCCCCGACCCCCCAGGCCCCCATCCGGCGCGCGCACACACACACACACACACACACA